TTAAATGACACAATTCTTGTGGGGTACTTAGCACAGCACGTTACACATGATAAGCACTGAAGAAAATGCTGGTGTGGATGGGGACACGAGGTAAAATACTGGTGAGAAGTAAGCAGGACTGAGTGAGTCATTTATAGGCTCTTAGATTCTCGGTGGAGAGAGAAAGACACTCACAAAGGCTCTTAGTACATGCTTAATGGAGGCACCTGGCTACTGTAAAGGATGTAAATGAGGTATTGTTGGGGTGTTATAGTGAAAAGTTTATCCGCATTGGTTTGGGCAAAATAATAAGCACCATGCAGTAGCTAACCCACACTCACTGTGTTACATGCGCTCCAAGGAGGACAAACGGACGGGTGCTCCGTCCCCTGCGGTGCACCTGCCCAAAGCCTCTGGCACAGGGTGCCTGCCGGGTGATGTTTGTTTCCTTCTTTTCTGTCTTTTGTAAAGTTTCTCTGGTGTCACAGAAAACATTTATCATCAGGAACTGTGTTGTGTTTCTTAAGAAGCTATTTCGGCTGCACTGTCAGAAGGGCTGGGAGCATCGGATGTGAGCGGGCTCACCGGGGAACCAGATGGCGGGCAGGGGCTTGGTGAGGAGGTGGGACCTGAAGAAATGGCAGGATCTGAATGCTCAGAGCGGGAGAAGGGCTGGCCCAGGAGAAAGACCAGGAAAACCCATGTTGGCTCCTTAGCTCAGAGTCCTTAGAGATGTCCCCGGTGGGGGAAATAGTTCGGTCCTGCCCCAGCCTGTCGGCTCCCGGGCTGTGGCCCCTGAAGGGCTGCTCATACCTGCTCCTCTGCCGTGTGGATTCGTTGGGAGTTTCAGAAGCAGGCGAAGAACATGAAGGCCTGTCATAGCCCAGCCATCCTGCGAGGCCGTGGTCTCAGTTTCTGGCCGTCACTGCTGTTAGGAAGTGCTTCCCGGCAGGGCCAGGGCTCTGGGTGACCGCATTTGCCCATTTGCTCCACTGCGGGGACTCGTGCCCACACCTACGTCTGTCTCCTTTCGGCTGGAACGTCATTTCCAAACAGCACGTTTGTGCCGCGAGAGCACCCGGCAGGCTGTCACTGCCACCTGTGAGTGGGCGGGCGTCCCTGTCGCCCGTCAGTAGCCTTGACCAATGTGCGTTGGAAAACCTCTGGAGTCCTGTGTTTTTCTTGCTGAAGTGGCCCTCGGCTGACAGTTGCTGGCCATCACGTGATCGAGCTAGATAATAAAAGAGTGGTTATGGGTCTAAATAATGGTGATCATGCCCCTCACTTTTCCCCTCCGTGTTTTCGTGTCTTTTATTGAGTGACAGCTGACGGACTGCCCCCAGTTGAAAACAGTTCCTGGGAGGAGAGAAAGCTACCGTTGCCGTTAGCTGCAAACCCACCCTTGTCTTGGCCCTTTCGCATTCTCTCAAAGCTTTACTTTATTCTCTTGGGTGATCAGCTCTTCCTCCTCCTCCTACTAGTGCTGTGGACATGAGGGTCAGGAGGCATCTGTCGCTGCGACAGTTTTGTGTGCTGTTTTGGTTGATGTCACTTGGATGGCGCTACCTGGAGTTCGAACTTGAGTTCCCCAGGTCTTGCTCTGCCAGACCTTGGTCTCTGGAGTTGCTTTCTGGTCTCTGTGTGACTACGTTGCTTTCCTCTCCAGAAGCGGACACTTCTACAGAGCAGTCCCCCTTACTGGCATGAGCAGGATGGGTATTTTCAATTTGCCACCGACAGCTGGAGGGCCGGGGATTAAGCCCACAGAACCGTTGGTGAGCCAGGAAAAGGCCAGTTCTCGCTTCTACTCTTAGTCTGATCGAGAGCCTGGAAGAAGAGGAGGAACCCATCTGTGGACGCTGCTCACGGGCCAGAAAGTCTGATAAGAGAAGGCTGTTCACACGTGTGCCTTTTAATAAAAGACACCGAATGCTGACAATTTCAGTTGATTATGGCTTTTGGTTTTTGCTCACATTATAAACATTCAGCCCCTTGGTATTTTTAGAAAGTACAATGGCCACTAAAAGTAGGAGACTACCTGCTGCTCGTGCCCTCTTGTCATCTTGCCACCTACCCTTCCCTTCCTGGCGTCAGCAAGACAGACCGACCAGGCCTGGCGGGGGTCTCTCGGTACCACCAGCATCACAGATCATGAAGATAAATAGTGACAAGTTCCTCAGATGCTTTATTTATTTATTTTTATGTTTTTCATCCTCTCCTGAGGACATTTTTGCATTCATCTTCAGATAGAGTGAGAGGGAGAGAGGGAGGAAGAGAGGGAGAGAAACATCGATGTGAGAGGGACACATCAACTGGCTGCCACCCACACGGCCCCAACCGGGGCCGGGACAATCTGCAACCAAGGTACATGCCCCTAGCAGGAACCGAATCTGGATCTCTCTGGACCGCGGGCCGACGCTCTAACTGCTGGGCAAAACCAGCCAGGACCCTCAGATGCTTTCGTATCTCAATACTCAGAGTGTGGTTCCCGGACCAGCAGTGACCCTGTCTCCTGGGGGCTTGTTAGACCCGCTGAATCAGCATCTACATTTCCGGTGGGTCCCTGGGTGGATCACACACAGGAGAGTACGGGAGCTGCTGCTTCAAGGAGCCTGCGGAACCACGGTGCTTACCGAGAGCTCCGAAACCCTAACAGGTTGACTGTGTCCCCAAGGCAGACACCTTCTCCCCTTTTCTAAAGACCCCCAGCCCAGTGTCTCCCAGTGGAGATGACAGATGCTCAGCGCCAACTGAATATGACTTCAGCTGGTTTACACCACTTTCCAACAGACCTGGAGTTAGTCCCATAGATATCGACACTCTCTTGAGTCTGCAGAACTTTAATTCTCAAGGGTCGGCATCTCTGTCTTCTCGGTACAATCCGATCTGGATGGATGGGCCCCAGAAGTTGTTATGTGATCACAGGTTGTTCTGAGGAAACTTGGTGGACAGCAAGACCCAGGAAATGCCAACACTTGTCCAGAGTGAGCATAAAGATTTTTTTTCCCAGTCAATTGAAAAAACTGTACTGGAAATATGAATTAATGATGATAACTCTCAGCAGTAATGTATATGTACCAGACAGGATTTCTTGGCCTGTCTCCTTGTCCTTAGGAGAACGTGTGGGCGCGTGGAAGCAAGGACTCCGGGATTCTCACCAGTCTGTTTGCACGCCTGTCTCTGATAGGTCTTCTTGACTGTTCAAAATTTGGATCCAGAAGTTAAATTTAGACTTACCCACCATCGATGGGAAGAATTGCCAGACGATTACGTCTGTGTGATATCATTTGCAATCCCAGGCAAATTCTGGTTCAGATGGTTCTTAACTTTTTCTGTCTGACTTAATTTGCTTTTCAAATAAAAAACTGGATACCAGAATATAGTCACCTGCGTTCGTCATAACCAACCATCTTTCCTCTCTCTAGAGGCGAACTCGAGCTTTTATTCCATCCACCAGGAGGCGGAGGGGAGGCGGAGTAGGGGTAAGGAGCTTCTCCGTCTCCCAAGCACACACACGAGTGTTACAAACTATCTGGACGAGCTGAGATGTGCTCCTCCTGCCCCAGGCTCCAGGCCGGCTGTGTCTCTGCAGTCAGCCGCCGTACTCCGAGCCCTAAGGAGAAAGCGTGTGTGTGCAGTGGGCCGCGTCCACCCTGGCAGACCACGTGCACAGTGTGGCCAGTAGTGCCCTGAGTGTGTCCACAGGGCCCGTGAGACCTGCAAGGGTTGTGGTTTGAGAATGCGGAGGTGAGGCATTGTCTTGACCCGGACTCCGCTTAAACTCTCCCATCAGCAACTGGGGAGGAGCGGGAAGAAGGGGTGGGGGTGGCAGCGCCCCAAGGAGGCAGTGCCAAGTAAACATGGGCCCACCTTATTTTCCTGACTTTGTGCAGTTAGAGTTTAGGTCAGAGGGTCATTTGGTGAAGTTGCCTCAGACTGATCAACCAAGGATGGAGTGACCCTGGGAGAAAGTCCGTTGGCCACACGCATCCTGTAATTCTCACTGAAGAGCCAGGGGCTGGACGCCCACGACCACGGACGAGGCTCGGGTGCCAAGGTCACGGCTTCCTGCCAACACCAGGGCTTTGGTTCATGTTGATCAGGCCCGGCAAACAGCACTCACAGTTTCTAACCAAAGGCCAGCCAGTGCTTTAAGAAAATGTTTACTGTGCTCGACGGCTGTGGCTCGGTGGCTGGGCGTCGACCCATCACCATGAGGTCGCCGGTTCGATTCCTGGTCAGGGCACATGCCCAGGTTGTGGGCCAAACCCCCAGTGTGGGGCGTGCAGGAGGTGGCCAGCCAATGTTCTCTCTCATTGAGGTTTCTCTCTCTCTCTCTTTTCCTCTCTCTCTAAAATCAATAAGGAAAAAAAAATTTTTTTTAAGAAAATGTTTACTGTGTATTGTGAATTTCCCTGATGATGACTAGAGAAGATTTGGAAAATACAAAAAGATTAAAAAGGAAAAAAATGTACACATAATCACGCTGTCTAAAATACACTCTTAAAATTTGGAGGTATTTCACTGAAGTCTTTTTTTCTATGCATTTGTGTATAAATTTAAAGAAATCTTTGTCAGAACACACAATTTTATCATGTTCTTTTTACACTTGGGAGCATATTTGTATCTCATTAGATTATTAAAAATACTACTTTAAGTGGCAATATAAGATTCTATCTTTTAGGCATGCCATAATTTATTTAACCACGTTGTTGGACATTTTCATAGTTTCCACATTTCTATACGTGTGTTAGAAATAACAGCAGCTGTGTTTTTAGGGGAGAAAATGAAGGGAATAGATTTTTGCCATCCTGATGGGACAGTCAGCACTATTCATTGTACTACTGCAGGTGGTCAAGCAAGTTCACAAACGACACTGTAGTGATGGACTCCCGTGGGAAGTCCATAGCTCCTGCGCTGAGTCCGATCAAGTGCTGTTGAATTGGGAGCAGATGCCTGTGGTGGTCTTCCTACCTGGGGCCCTTGGGTGCTCATAGCTGCTTTTCTTCTCTCCCCTGCAGTTACTGGGGCTTCCGGATGCAGATGACGACGCGTTTGAAGAGTACAATGCAGACGTGGAAGAGGAGGAGCCAGAGGCAGACCACCCCCAAATGGGGGTCAGTCAGCAGTAAACTTGCAAGGGCTCCCATCTGACAAGGAGTGAGCCCGTGGTACCCGAGGTGGGGTCGTGTGCTGCTCCTGGGTGAGCTCTTCGACACAGGATGTCCGACTGCCAGCTTCCAAATTAAAATGAAATACCTGTTTCACGACCACAAAAGATCTGGGATGAGCTGTGCTCAGAAGTGACCTGCGTTTGACTCCCGTTTCAGTGGGTTCCCTTGGAGTTGTCCTGGTAGCCTTGGCCATTTCGAATTTAGTCCATTTTGTGGCTGACCATTCTCTCTTGAGTTTCTGTTGGAGAACTGACATTCGCTGACTCGAATGTAGAGAAATCTGAATGTATTACGGACGTGTTTTGAGTCCCCAGCAGGTGACTTTATCGAGGGAAAGCATGGCAGAGAAGAAATGCAGTCTGCACTTTTTATGTATCTTGTAAGTGTCGTTAAGTGAAAGGGTTTGCTTATAAAGCATGAGTTTTAATACCTAGTCATTACATTGCACAAGTGCAAGTCAAGGACAGAAAAGGGTCATCACTTAGCTTTGGGTGAAGAGGGTAAGGGAGGCAGAGAACCTCTCAGCGGGTTGCCATCACTGAGTTACCTGGATACGTGGCGACCAGTTCATGGTTGTGTAAACATCCTTGCCTGGTCGATTCTTTTAACACACGCTAGTTCCAAAGCCACTTTTAAAGTCTTAACAGTGGAAAAGATAAATGGGGTGACATCAGTTACCGATTTCTTTAAAATGTTTATAAACCGTCCCACATATAAAATGAAACATTTACCTTCTTTCTTTACAATGAGACGGCAACTTGTTAAATCATGAAAACATCCAGAATCCAAGGGCCACTTCAACTTTGAAGCCATAGATAAATTTAATGGGACAATAAACCAGGATAACATTTTTAAAAATATGATGGAATCCTTTTTTAATCTTTTTTTTTAAGTTCAAGAAAAGGATCCCACTGTGTGATTTATTTAAAAATTGTAATCAAGTGCTTCGAGAAACCTAATTGCAGTGAATTTTTAAAGTGGGAATCTTTCGACAGCAGGTGAGCTTGGCTCAGAGGGGAAGGTTTAATGATAACTCACAGAGATCACTTAGCCAACAGATACTTCCGAGGTAAATCCTCTGTCATGCCAACATGGACTTATTTAAAATATTCATTTTCTTGGGCCCTTCTGCATCTCTGGTCCTAACAACATGGGGTGCCTAATGCTTTTACAACACTTCACTAAACGTAGCGTCCGGGGTGGGGATGTTTTTAACATGTGTGCCTGTTAGGCTATCAAAGTTTTGAGTAAAGAAGGAAAAAAAGCAGCCGCCTCAGAGACCACAAAGCTTCTGGGAGTCTTGTCGGTCTTCCAGGCGTGTCGGTGTAAACCTGATTATCTCAACGTTTTCTGTTTAATTGGTGCTGTGAGGAGCACATCTGCTCATGGTCAAATCGTGCACTGCGGTTTTAAGTCGTTGGGTAAAATAATATAGTGGTTTCCATCTGTGGGTCAGTGGCAACATTTTTTTTCTTGTCTTGGGAAAACATGTTCAAGGTTAATTTCAAGTAAAATGAATTTCCTTCCAGGGAGGATATTAACAAAGCAAACCTTAATGATTCATCCGTGGAGTGAAATGGGCTCGGGCTTTGCTCCCTCGTCTGTGTGCTGATTGGCTCCAGACCTGAGCACAAGTGTCTAGCTGTTGCTCGGGTTGGGTCATCTTTGTTCTAACCCAGTAGGCGGGCAGAGTGACTTCTGCAGCTGAGATGTAGGAGCTCGACTAGCGTGCTCCCTTCCAAGGTAAACTGGAATTTTGTATGTAGTAGAGGCTTAAAATGTAAATTTGCATATGTTTGAAAATGGAATGGACATTGATGTAAAATGTATTTTATCCAAAAAGTGTTTAGGTTTTGACCAAATGCATTTTGGTATTCTTCTGTGAATGTTCTGTTTATAAGAATTGAGCTGAGGTAGACTCAGCCATTCACTGGGCTGGGGAGAACTCTGGAATTTGCTTTGCCCAGGAGTTGGGGATACCATCGCTGTATGTTACTTATCTCCCTGGAAAAACCCCAAAAGGCATTAGCAAATGGGATTGTTTCCTCTAAAACTTCCTTTTCTCTGTGCACATCCCCACCAGTGCTCACCCACACAGGTGCGCACGTTCGGGTCACGTGTGGCAGAGACTTTGCACAGTGCAGAGTTTCACCCGGTCGGTCAGCATGTGAGCAGCCTGTGGTTTCTGCACAGACTTCCACGGACACATAAACACCCTCCTGGGAGGCGACAGACAGTGGGAGGAGCACTGACCCAGCAGTTAGGAGAGGGGCCTGGGTGCGGGTGCTGACTGCCAGCAACCACCTGACCTTGGGCGGGTCACTTAACTAGCCTGAATCAAGGGATGTGTGCCCTTCCTGCTTTACCCACTTGTCTTCCACAACTGCCTTATGGTGTGTGTGGGCATGAAGAGCAACAGTCCAGGAGACGTGGAGGGAAATGAGCAGGAAATAGATTTAGAATCTCACTGTCCTTAGGATCCTAGCCACAGGGCCACCTGGGGACAGGTTTCTGTTGGTCTGTGAGCATCCAAGCCCCCTACAACCCGATCCTGATGGCCCCAGAAGGTCTAGAAAACAGACTTGTCTCAGTTGTACATGCTCTGCCTCTGGGAAGGCTGTTTTATTGTGCCCTGACAGATTGTGGCCTTGGAAGGGGAATACGTTTAACTTAACGGAGAGGGGGAAATTGCATGAAGAATAGCTGGAAGAGAGTGACTTTTACTTTTTGCCATCTCATCCCATGGAGAGAGAGAGAAAGAGGTGCGTGTGTGCATGTGTGTGTGTGTGTGCAGGTGTGTGAACAGGGAATGATTGCTTGTTGATCACTGCAGGCCAGCTGTGAAATCAAGCCTAATAACCTTACCAGACCTTGATCCTGGGTTTGAGTGAATCACAGAGACATCTTTCTGATGGCTGCTGGTTCCTTTTCTCTGTCTGATCATCGTACCGAGCGGACTTCGGGGAATCGGAGAGAATTATGGAGCCAGGGAGGGAGGTGAGACCCTGCACAGTGCCTGCCACACTCCAGATTCGGTTACACTGCGGTGTCCACCTCCCCCGCCCAGGCTCAGAGCAGCACGTACTCTTGTTCTTCAGTGACCAGAACACGCAGAGTCTCTTCTTTGGGCAACTCTCCTTGTGTCCTGGTGCCAGGATTAGGTTTCCAGTGCGCTTAGGTAAAAACCTCTCTCCTCTCATGGTCACTGTCATTGTTCACATGTGAGCAGAACCATTCCCTGGTACAGTCATGTCTCCAGATACTGTTATCTGGTTCATAAGAGCACAGAGTGTGTGGACCTGGGGCGCTGTGCTGCCAGGTTGTGTGATGAGCGTCATCGGACTCTGCCTCGCATGTGAAAACGGACACGTTGGGAAGCTGGCCTCAGCCCGTCTGATTTCCCGTGATTTGGGAGGCACGTAGGAGGAGGCAGGACTTAAGTCTGGGGTGGGAGAAGATGAGTAGGGGAGAATGAATGGGACGATTAGGGTCTGATTCTTTTAGGGAAAAAAAAACCAGAACAGAAAGCCAGGAGGCAGCTATCACGTAAGGTCCAGGAAAACTCTTCATGCGAGCCCACAGGAGCCTGCTCTGCCCGAAGGGCCTGCCTGCGTGTTGCAGAGCGAGGCTCGTGTTGGGAATGGCTTTGTGGCTTTGAAAATGCCCCCGGCCAAGGAGACAGCGGGTGTCCTGCAGTTCTGGTGGAGTCCTTGTCCTGGCTGACCGTGAACAACCGGGACCTTGCTGTCGCTGCAGGGGAGACATGGGCCAGGAGCACCCCTCCTCTGGCCAGAGGCAAAGCCCACCTACTCCCCCCGAGCTCCAAGGTTGTAGAAAGAGTACAATTAAAACTCACATGGGTCCCATATCCCTCTTCCCTAGAGTGGGTGTGAACTCGAGGTGTCTGCCAACTGCCTAGTCTTCAGATTACCAGAGAAGCCTGCTGTTGCTTGGGATTAAAAACGAATCCTCTTCCATAGAGACTCAAGTGGTTATCTTGGTTTTGTGATACCAGGTATAACATGAAAGGCTGAAGTCTTTTAGATTTACACAGAATAATTCTAAAACTTGCCAGGATGCCAGTAGCCTCTGGTAGCCATGGCAACGTGGTGCCCATGGTAAAATATCTATAGCTCACGTTCACTGGGCAAATTGTTAAATAATATGTTGTCTTTGATATATATTTTTTTTTTATCTGGATGACAAAAATAGAGAACCTCCGAACATTTCGTGTTAGAAAACCCATCGAACGCGCCGCGGAGCTGAGGAGGCGTAGCAGCCAGGAGCGCACCAGGCCACAGGAGCACAAACATTTCATTCGCTCAGAGCTGTGTATTCACACGGTACCCAGAGAAGGCTGGCCGTCTGTTCTTTGTAAAACCGCCTTTCCTGGTTTTTCCCTTTGTTTCGTTTCTGCTTCTCACTATTTAGGTGTTCCTTGTTATTGTAAGCACCTCGGGTAGCCCGGCAGACAACGGGAGCCGCTCTGCAGTGGCAGCGAGTTAGGGGAGAAGGGACGTCGTCGGTTCCAAGCCAAACCTGAGACTGTGAGCCAGTCTCCGCTGGTGTGTGACAGCCGGGTAGCCATCGAATGAGAAGCAAAAGCGAGGACCGGTTTGGAGGGTTTTTCTTGGGCAAAACGAAAAACAAACGAACGAAACAAAACGTTTCCTGCAGGGTGTGTATGCTTTCTTTGCCTGTATATTTCCTTTCAAAGAAATCTCTTGTAAATGACAAAACCGTGGAATGGGCTGCCAGAATTCGTTGACTTTGTTAGACGCTTGCAGCCGTGTGAATCCCAAATTGAACCCTGTCCACATCCGCTCCTTTCTCCGGAGAGAGGATCTCATCCAACGATGTAATTACCATACGCTTGCTATTAAAGAGCCTTCCAAACACTGGAGACGGTCTCCTCTTATTCCCTGCACCGTGGCCCTGGAGGACACCTCATGTGATAGAATCTAGGAACAAGGAATAAGGACTGTTGGCTAGCTCTGTGGTTGCTGTTGTTGGGGCTGGTGGCGGCGGGTGGGGGGTGCTGGCGATGGGGGAGTGAGGGAGGAGGTGGTTATATGAACCACTGATATGATTCAAATGTTAATAATTGATGTGTTTTGAGACATGAATATATCTATTCAGATGCTGTTGCTGGTGTTCAGTAATTTTCCACTCTTTCTTCAAACTAGTCCATTAGGTTTCTATGCGACAACCCTGTCTTTTTCTATCCTAGTTAGGAATCCTTTGTGGCACCACTTAGAAATCTGTGGCCATTCTGTGATGAAACTGACACCTTGTGCCCACTGCTTTCCTCCCTGTGACTGTCATTCGGTAAACAATGGCATTTAAAGAATAAATCTGGAAGTTGGTGGTAAGTCCCATTATGTGATTAAGAATAACTTTCTTTCCTCAAGGAATAGTGTCCATAGATTGTTAAATGAAATTTGCGTTGCCTTAATAGACACAGCATAGTGTGTGTGTGTGTGTGTGTGGGTGTGTGTGTTTGAGAACACTTCATGCGTGGTTCTTTGTTTCGACGTGGCTGTTGTGGGAGAGTGTGCTCCAGCGGCAGCCGTGAGCAAGTTCCAAACCTCACTCAGTCTCCTTCGGCCTCTGCAGGTGGCGCCATGAGCTTCCCGGCGAAGCCCTTTGACCGGGGAATTCCCTTGCTACTGTTACTTTTAAAAATACAGACTGGCTTCTTTATCTAAGTGCAGGGACTGGGTGTTAGAACGACCCCCATTTCCCTTTTGCAGACTGACTGTGAATCCGTTGGCAAGGGAAGGTCCTGTGACCGTAGGGTTGTCACCTCTCCCTGCCCCCATCTTGGTTTCCTCCGGTTAAAATAACACTGAGGACTCATTTCCACACCCTCCCAGGCACTAGCATTATGTGAATGTATGTTCTCTTGGCTAGTGGGGTGGGGTGGGCGGGGAGCAAAGTGTATGAAGAAAACACTATCTCATGAAACCAGGACCGGGTGACCTGCTGTTGGCAAAACTGACCTTCTCTGATTTTGAACCCATCGATCCTGGGGTCCCTTTTAGAAATGATGACCCCAGCCAAAATAGTGGGCGTATATGAGCCATGGAGCTGACATCTCTGAATGCTTTCGCCTAACTTCCTACATTTCCTTCTCCCTTTATTCCAATAATATGGAATAAAAAACCACAGCGAGACAGGAAGATTTGGGCGTTTCCTTTAGGGATATAACAAACAGTCACGTCTCCAGAGTAAAGTCAGGCCAGGGGGGACACCTCATTGTCCCCAGAGTTCGTTGTGGACACGAATGGGTTAAAGTGGAACAACGTAAGCAGAACAAAGCCCACTCCCCAGTGTTTGGACGTGCCCCAGACCTGGCGCAGGGGCTTTCCGGGAGAGTGCCAGGAGGGGACATCTGACAGTTCTGCCCGCTGCCCTGCTGACCTGCGGTGAGCGAACATTCCTCTCTCCCTTTGGCAGGCTTGGCCATCTGGCACTTTGGAAACTCAAGAAATGCATCCTGAGCCCTGGCCGGTTTGGCTCAGCGGTTAGAGCGTCGGCCTGCCGTCCGGAGAGACCCGGGTTCGGTTCCCGCTAAGGGCACGTACCTTGGTTGCAGTTTGTCCCCGGCCCTGGTAGGGTCGTGTGGGTGGCAACCACTCGATGTGTCGCTTTCACGTCGATGTTTCTCTCTCTCTCTCTCCCTCTCACTCTATCTGAACAAAATATCGAAAAATGTCCTCGGGTGAGGATTAAAAAAAGAAAAAAGAAATGCATCCTGAAATAGCTGGCACTGTCCCTTTAACTCAGTTCCATAGCAGGCAAACGACTGTGAAATACTTGATCTCTGGCCCACCTTTCTTTCCTTGTTGGAGCAGAAAACAATGACATTTATAAAAATCCAGACACGCTGTAATTAGGCAGCCAAAAAATAGGGCAGGCATTTCCTATCAGGTCCCATGCAAAGAGGCAGAGATCTGTGTTCCTTATTTTCTAGGAGAATACGGCAACAGCACGGGTTTAGAAACCGGCAGTGAAGTGGGTCCTCTGGGATGCTTTCTAATTGGGAGCCTCTAGAGGTCAGCAGCGCTTAAAGAAAGGGTCCGGCTCAGGCTAGTCTGGAGCCCGAGTGCCGGCGGACCTCCAGAGGGCGAGAGGGGAACGCGCAGCCCCGCTGAACTGCGGGAGGTTCAGCATCCTTTTCCTGTACATAAACCCTGACATTTGACTCAGGTTGATTCCCCCCCTTCTCATCCATCTTTCTCTACAGCTCCCACACCCCCCTGTGTACACTGTCAGCTCGATAAACACGTTTTACGGAACGATCAATGCAGCATGGTATTTAGCTCACTCCTGAGGGCTGGGGAAATGCCAGAGAGGATGAGCAGCACACATCATCTGCTCCGCGTGCCGAGGCAGCCTGGGCCTTGCAGATGATCAGCCAGCAGGCTTTGCTAAAGCCGCAGCCTCCGACCCAGCTCCAGGGTGCCGTGGGCAGCGCCGGGACCACAGGGTTCTGCTTGGAACCCAGATCAGGCGTGGTGTGGACAGATTGGAGCATAAATGGAGCAACTGGCCAGAATTGATGCATCTGGGAGCCCCCTAAAAACTGGTCAGCACTCCTGGGGGCTCCAGGGCACAAGATGAGCACAGGCTTCAGGGATAGGAGGCCACATCCAGACCCACAGGCAGCCTTGGGAGCTCCCAGCTGCTCCCAGAGTTGCCCCTGGGTTTTCTTTTAGCCCAGCAAGAGACAGAAGAGCTGGGCCAACAGGTTTGTTGAAATCACTTAGTGATGGGTCAAGTGGAGCCATTAGGCAGAACAAGGCTACAGGAAACCCAGCGTGCCCTCTGTCCTCGGTCCTGCCCCCTGAGCAGCCCTTTACAAGGCCACTGCGGACTCTTCCAGCAACAGAAGAGGCTGTTCCAGACTCCTCGTGACGAAGGGCTTTACGCTGACCCTGAATTGACCAGGAGCAGAGGTGCACTCGGTAGTCCAGCCAGGGCCTGGGAGCAGGCAGACAGCGCTCCTCGTCCGCTCACCTGGTAAGGGGCAGGAGCGGCACCATCATGCCCACAGCTTCCGTCTGGCTCCCTGAGCCTTCCAACAGACTTCCACCCCGCCTTCTCGAACTTTCCCCACCTGTGCCAAGGCACCACGCACCCTCAGCACCTGCCCCGGCTGTGGAACACTCGTACTCGTCTGGGAACAGTGTCGTGTCGAGGGGGTGCATGGACAGTGGAGGACATGTTTCAAAGGCACATTGAATTCACTTTGAAGTTCGTGTTTGGATGAGCTTCTCTGCCGCTGTTAGCTCCACAGATGCAGGGAAAGAAATCCTGCCTCACCAGTATCCTGAAGGAAATGTTGGTGCCCCAAACCTGTTTTCCTTGACTCTGAAAGCCCAGTGTTACCCAGACCCGTGAGCGGGACCCCTGGTGCTGGCAGGCGGGCGTGGGCGCACTGGTGAGCGTGCCAAACAGGAGCGGTGCTTTCTGTTCTCCAGATGGAAGGAGGGCGAGGACGGTGAGTCAA